TATATATATATACTGCTTGATCTGCCAAATAAAAATAAAATCTATTGTCATGGGACTGCAGAGAACAACAGCGTAAGGTTCTGCCAAATCCTTGAGCATATCCAAATCATGAGGGAAGAAATATCACATCACTGCTACGAGACACAGGGCAAAAGGTCATGAGGGAAGAAATATCACATCACTGCTACGAGACACAGGGCAATAGGTCATGGGGAAGACCACGGGGAACCAGGAGAAGAGTCACGGAAATGGACGTACGAAAAAGTGGGAAGACATGGAGTGACATCCAGCGACTAGCCCAGGATAGGGAAAGGTAGAGAGTGTTTGTTCGTGGCCTATATACAGACCCAGGGTGAGAAAGGCAATGATGATGATGCTATGAGATGACCAACAAGTTCTTACCTAGCAGGGCCTGGAAGAGGCGACTCTTAAAGATCCGAATGACTCTCTCGATGGCAGTCTTGAGCGGCCGGTCCTGGGGTTTGGTGAGTCGTGTGTGGTAATCCTCCAGGAGCTCCAGCGCTCGGTGGGCATCTGTCACACAGAAAACACAAACACGTTATCATCAACATATATTATATATATACACACATATCTGTCGTCACAGAAAACACAACCACATCATCAACAACATATACACATACATAACACAACCACGTCATCATCAACATATATATATATATATATATATATATACACACACACACACATATCTGTCACACAGAAAACACAAACACGTCATTATCAATATATACACACACATATCTGTCACACAGAAAACACAAACACATCAGCCTCAATATATACACACATTATTATTATCATACTTCATTCAGTTAATAATAATAACAAATAATGATATATATAGCATTTGTATACTGCATACCCCTGACACACAGAAAACACAACCACACCATCCTCAATAAACATATTTTTATCATACTTCATTCAGTTTATAATTAATAATAATAAATAGCATTTGTATAGCAACCCCCACGCGACAGCAAGCTCTCTATACGTCTATTTTTTTAAAAAGAAATATTATTGTGCTGTTAATCCAACAGTTCTTAAAACCCTATACTATACATGATACAACAGTTCTTTTCATGATAGAACCCGGGAGCCTTGGCTACGCTCCATTTTTTACATGATTAATTTGTCGGTTTTTTAAAAAAAGCAAGGCCAGTGGGCCACTGAATTACAGCTTGGCTTATTTTTGCACACAACAAGAAAAAGACAAAGACCATCTGAATGAGTCATTAAACACCAAAATCTGTTAGACACAAAAAGTTTGGTTGACACAAAGACGATATTTTGATTTTGCAGACAAAAAAAAAAGGAGCGAAATTGTGGTACAGAGGTTTAACGCCCCTCTTTTCAACACTGTGCAGTTATTTAAGAGGCTTACTTTCATTACAATTTAATGCTGTTCTCCAATTCGATCGTTCTAATTGGGAAAATCTGTGTAAAATGCCTGCCGTTCCAAAAGATATAACATCCACCTGAGTGAGTCTCTAGCCCCAGAACAGTAATTTCCCTGTTACCACTTTTGATTTAACTCCTTTTTTCTCGTGAACATGCCATCATAGCGTGCAATTTTCTCGCTGTGCTTAAAATTTTTTTCATTTTTGCAGAGTTCCATGTTTATTGCAGTACTAATGTACCCCCATCTTAATCTGCATCCTGATATATGGGGATAAAAAAGGTTGTGAGCTCTGCGCACTGCATGGGTGGAAAGTGTTAAGCGTTGATAACTGTAAAGTATAAAAGTGAAGTCTTGCATTGTTCCATGAGGATAAATTAAAGCTGTGAAAAATGAATTTAACTTTTTTATGCAGGACTCCAAGACCTTGTCACTATTGTTCCAATGTTCCTCTTATTACATTGCTCTTAACGGTCTTAACAATAACCTTTTCGACCAAACTCAAACTGTCCAAACTTTTGACAATACATCAGGATACTACAATATTTTGTGCGTTTTTTTGTTTAAAAGTTGAGGATGAAATGAAAATATGAACAGTTCAGTCAGGAGTTTGAAAGCACTGACGGTTACCCACTTCCTCACAGTCTTCCTGTATCTCTTAATAATAAAACATTGCGAGATCATCTGCTAAATTTCATGAACAATCAAAATAAAAAACCCAGGACCTAATTATTAATAATTATTGTGCTTAAGTTAACACTGTACTGTAAAGAAATTAGAAGTCCTCAGCATCTCTGAAAAATCAACACTTATCCCCTATGGCATGTGTTTGGTCCTGTCTCTTACTCTACCTGCATAAAGTACGCAAAGTAGAAAATTGTAAGGGTAATAAAGCAGTTTAAAATTTAAGATCCAACAAAACTTACAGACAAAATGGGAGTAAACTTATCAACGCAGTGCACCTTTCCCCCAACCCAAACATGTACGCAAGCAGTGGCAGTGGGGATGCATGATAACTTTACTGAACTTTACACTATAGCACCACAACACACACTAAAGCTTTAGAAGCATAGTGCATTCAAATTTATAAGTGCACACATGACACATCTTAAGCACAGCATCAGCACCTGTCTCAATTTCAGTTCCCGCTTCAGTCCGTTTCTCAGCAGATAAAAGTTTTATCCAACAAACCAAAAGGGGAAAGTTTCAGGAAGCTAACAATTTTTAGTTGGGCAGCTAGATCTAGAATCTAGCTCATCTATGGTTTTTGGGAAAAAATTCTGAAACACTTTGTGACTTAGTGACTTGCCATTAGTGCCACTACACCATATCCAGAGAGCTCGGGTTTTCCTGAGCGAGGTATTCTGATGTACGGAGTACTAGTTACTCAACCACTGGCACTGTGGGCTGAAAACTTGAGCTCTGACTGAGTGTCAAAGCAAAAGATTGCAAAGAAAGTTAATTATGGAATTATCTTACTCATGGACCCATTTCACGCTCAGATATTCTCATGCATTTTTCTTCTTCATTTTTATCTGCTGTACTTGAATTTTGGTTTATTAGATTTAGATTTTCGGAGATCTACATACACGATAACCGGGCACCTAGTCTCACCTAGTCTCAGTATCTACGTACACCTTAACCGGGCACCTAGTCTCACCTAGTCTCAGTATCTACGTACACGGTAACCGGAATGTAAATACATCAATATTTGTCCTGTGCTGTCACTTGCTGCAAAAAAAAAGAAAGTCATACAAGTGTCTTGTCGGGCTCGCCATCGTGACCAGTCAGTGAACCTGTGTGTGTGCATCACATTTTGTGAGTAACGGTTGGGGTCACCAAAGTTCATTCAAAGTCTGTACACTGCAAAGTATAGGGCTCCGGAAAGGGGGGATTATTGATTTTTTTTAAAGGTACAGTCGGGGGAGGGGTGGGGACGAAGGCAACACAGGATGACAAAAACTGGACTTGGAGTTCTGAACTGCCCGGTTACCGTGTACGTGACACTGAGACTACATGCCCGGTTGCCGGTTACCCTGTACATAGACACTGAGGCTAGGTGCCTGGTTACTGTGTACGTAGACACTCCCGTTAGATTTTATGAGATGAATATTTTTTAACGAACTATAGTATAGGCCTATTGACTTGCGAGGGTTTCAAGCGGCCATATGTATGTGTGTCCTGCAGCAAATATTACGGAAGTTTAACCCCCAAAACAGCATCTTCATGCGAATCTAAAAGTAAAAATTTGCCAAGTTAACAGATTCAATGATGATATTGAACATGCCGAGTCTGATTACAATTGTGTTTATTGACTTCCCACAATAAAAACCAGCCCAGATTAGGAATGATTAGGCTCATTAGGCGACATGATTGGAAAAGCTACTGACATGACCTGATCCTTTTGGGTTTTTTATGATGCAAACTCTTGTAGATCCAGTAGTAAAAGTAAATGTGAAAGTCAGTTCAGTGAACTCACAAAAGAAACTGTCACCTTCTTCCCAGCTCTTACTACTCTTCGTCTGAAGTAAAAATTAATGTAGATTTAGACTTAGAAAGAGCTGCAGCCAATCCGGGATTATGCTTTATATCAACACGATTTATTTATTTTAAAATCGAACTATTGGTATGTCACAGCCAGCTTGACCCAAAGATCAATTAGCGGCCTTGACAACTTCCCTGGCCGACCGAAATGACCGCGTCTGCTGGAGTGGATGAATGACCACAGTTCAGCAACACAGCAATTCACACACATCGACGACAGGGGTCTCTTTTCCTGAGAACTAGTCTAGTCTTGTCCCTTCTTTGTCCATGAGTTTTGTTTGCCGGCAGAAACATATAAAAATGGTCATGAAAATTTCGAATACCTGTACTCCATAATAATTCCACGAATGAGACTGCTCAACTTACCTTCTTTTCGCACCGGCATGTTGAGAATGCCAGAAATGCAGGAAATCCGCCAGTGGTTGTTGACCTAATTTATGATGCACAAATACGAGGAGCCACAATCAAGGCTGCCTATAAGCTCAGAAAAAGATAGAACTCCAATCAGTTAGTTCAAGTAACAAATCATCAGCACAGCATCTATAATCACATGTAAAGGAATGTTCCATGCACAGATCCCCAGTTTAAACCAGGAAATAGCAAGCGGTGTGAAATATGGCGTCAAGCTAAACAATTAGTCACGTGACGAAGGATCAGTCATTGTTCATTCCTAAGGTGTTCGAAAATTGTAATATTTTCGCCCACATTGAAGAAAATTTAGGGCGCATTTAGCAGTAGAAAATTTCTGAAGTCAATATTTTAGCACAAAAGATCATTAGACTATGGAAAACATATCAACAGAGATGGAAAGTAAAAAACACGTAACGAAACAGGTGGTTTAAAAATGAGCGATCAAAAATGAGCCCAGAGAACTAGTTTCAAGAACGACAAGTCTAAAAATGTCTCAACGTCCAAATCTCAGTACTGGTTATCTTTCGTTATTTTTCACTCTGCAATCTGTTGGCCTAATTGCTTCTACTTTCCAGTTTGTCGGGTGCTTGTTTGTTTC